GCCCTCCCCCCCCCTCCCCCCCCTTGCTGGCCGAACGGATGCCCTGGCCATGCCCACCAGCCAACTTGAGCGTGGTTAGGGGGGGGGGGTTGAGGGCAATCGATCAAGGGATGGATGGCTGTATGAATCAATGTCGATGGGCGTCACACCCCAGCCATGGCTTACATCTCATCGACAACTTACTAAGATCGGTCTCGGATAGCCAGCCCACAGCAGTCAGGCCGCAACAGCCAACTCAACCCACAGCAACCAATAAGCCAATGGCCTAGCAATAGCCATGCGATGGCCTAGCAATAGCCATGCGATGGCCCCCACCAATAGCCCCCCCCCGGGCAATGGAAAATGCCTCCACCGCTGACACGTTCGGCTGCGGCTACTCAACTAGCGGCACCACCCCACCCCCTCCCCCACACCCCCCCCACACCTCCATCATGCTCCGCCCGCTGCTCCGTTCGATTGCACCGCACTTAACACAGCTGACAACCGGTCCTTGCTTTGCAACCGGTGCCTTAGCGGCAGAAGGAGCAGGAACAGGAGCAGGAGCAGGCGGCAGGCCGGCCAAGACCACGGCCAATGCCCCGAGGGTGGCACAGCGGCGAGGCGGGCGGTGGATCAAGGTCTGGCCGGAGAGCGGGAGCGCGGCTGACGAGAGCGCCGACGGGAGAGAACACGACCATGGGCTGATGACTCGAATCGGAGCCCATGGTCGTGAGGTCCTGCTCCCGCGCGGCTTTCCGGCGAGCGTCGGCGCCGGGTACATCCCGTACTCGGCATGGCACGCCGTCCACCTCGTCGCCGGAACGATGACGGGCGTGCTCTCAATGCAGGGCCTGCTATTTGCTGTTGGCCTTGGCGCTGGAGCCATTCCGCTTGCTGGAGCGCTCAACTTTGTGCTCAAGGACGGAATCGGGCAGCTTGGTGGCGTGCTGTACGCCGCCTTCTCGTCGCGATCGTTTGACGCCCAGCCCAAGTACCACCGCTACTCGTCGACGCTCCTGCTGCAGCTCTCGACCGGGCTCGAGGTCCTGGCCCCACTTGTCCCGGCTCTCTTCCTCCCGCTTGCCTCAGTGGCAAACATCGGCAAGAACGTGGCCTACCTCGCCACCGGCGCCTCGCGCGCTCAGCTCAACAGGGCCTTTGCCATCTCCGAGAACCTCGGCGACGTGACTGGCAAGGCGACGTCGCAGGCCATCTCGGCCTCACTGATTGGCACCGGCCTTGGCGTTGCTCTCTCTTCAGCCATCGGATCGGATGCCACCTGGGTCGCCTTCTCCGCCTTTCTCCCGCTCTCGGCGCTCACGGTCTACGCCGCGGCGCGCTCGTCAGCGCACGCCGTGCTAACCACTTTTGATCAGCAGCGAGCCGACCTCGCCTTTGAGCCACTGCTTGTTGCCTCGCCCGCCGCTTCGCCGTCCCTCGCAGCCATCGCCGCGCCAGCCGCCGTCGCCGCACGCGAGTCGTTCCTTTCCCGCTACCGCGGCGATACCGGCATCGACATCGATCCTGCACTCACCCACAGCGACTGGAATGAGATCCAAGCCCAGCCGTCGAGCCTGGATGTCTTTGATGCACACAAGTACATTGTACACCCAAGGCCTGACGGCTCGGTTGCACTCTGGTTTGACGTCGACGCTACCGCGCCACAGGTACTCCGAGGCTATCTGCACGCGCGGGCGTTGCGGGCCAGCGCCACGGCGCTGGTGGAGCGGTTGCGGACTTGGTCTGACTCGGAGTTTACTGCCGCGCTTGCGGCTGCCGGCTGGGACGTCGACCATCAGTACGTGTCGGGCGCCGAGGGCGCGCGACTCCGGATTGACGGGCAGCCAGCCTCGTGAGCCATCACGTCGCCGGGCCCGACTGACTCTTGGTGTGCTTCTTGAGTGGCGGCAGTGCCTGTGCAAGCCGCCCGGCCAGCTCGCGGAGCTCTGAGCCGACTCGCGACGAGTCACTGGAGCGGCCGAGCCGCCGGCCAGAGAGCGAGGCAAAGAGATTGGAGACAGTGGCCGATCCAAACTCGCCGGGCTCCCCCGACGAGTACGCCCGCGCCGGCAACGTCTCGGAGAGCAGCGAGACCGTGCCGCGGTGCGGCGAGACCGACGACGACGCCGGCGAGTCGCGCCAGTGCGTCGGCGACTGCTGCCACGGTGCTCGCGCCGGCGTGTGTCGCATGCTGCGGCTCAGCTGCCGCGGCGGCGAGAGCGAGACTGAGAGTCGCCGCCCGGCAACGGCCGCGGCAAGTCGTGACGCTGACGGTGAGTCCTCGCGGCCGCCCGGCGAACCGAGTCCGCTGCCCGGGCTGCCGGAACGTCCCAGCGTGAGGAAGCCTGCGCGGCGGCGCGAGATCGACCGATGCGGCTGCCGCCGCATGTCGAACGATTGCGACCGCTGGACCGAGTTGATAGTAAACTCACCCGAGTCGCCAGACTGCGTCACCTCGAGCTTCGGGTCGACCGCGTCGGCCGACGGCGAGTCGAGCATGCCCGACGCTGTGACCATTGTCATGAACGAGACATCGTCCGAGAGCAGCTCGTTGAGATCGACCGCGTCGTCGTCGTCGTCGCCGTCGCGGCCGGTATCGTCGCCGTCCGACCGCGTCGACCCGTCGTCGTCGAGCGACGATGCGCCCGACTTGACAATCGGCGACACACTAAGCGCGTGGAGCGACATCGGCTGGGTCCGGCCCTCACCGGGTGAGCTGTTGGCGAGGTCGGCAATCGAGTCGAGCGCCGACGGGAGGGCAAAGACCGGCCCTTCAAGGTGGGCATTGACGGTGGCCTGAACATCAGCCACGTCCCAGCGGGCGTCGGGCGAGTCGACGGTGTAGGCGTGGCTCTCGCCGAGCCCAAGCCGGACTAGCGGGAGCGCACTGATGGTCGGCGGCGCGCTGGGCGACGGCGACGGCGGCTCTGGCGGGTTGCCTTCCAGTTCACGGAAGAGATTCGGGGAGATGAGGAGGGCAGCATCAACAGAGCGAGTGGCCGACTCGAGATCATGGGCGTCGTCAACAGCAGCGCCGATCATGGCAAAGTCGAGGCGGGTAACGCCGATGTTGCCGAGGAAGACCCGGCCGGACGCGAGGCCAACGCCCGAGTACATGATCGAGAGGATCGAATCCTCGCCGGCGGCGGCTCGTGCAGCGGCAAGCCGGCGCTGAATGTCCAGCGCGACATGGACCGCGTTCCACCGGGAATGTGGCGGGAAAAAGGCGACGACGCAGTCGCCGATGAGCTTGTTGACCGAGCCGCCACCGCGCTCGACGGCGGAAATGACGATTTCCAGAAAGGTGTTGATGAGCTCGACAACCAACTCAGCGTTGAGGCCGACAACCTCGGTGATGCGGGTAAAGTCGAGGATGTCGGTGACAAGGATGACAGCCCGGACCGGGTGCGAGTAGTGGGCGAGCGGATTGGCACCGGTCTGCAGGATGTCCAGTACCTTTTTCTGGGTGTAGCCGCGGAGCGAGACGTACGAGGTGAGCATGGTGTCGAGCATGAGCCGGATCATGTGCTCGACCACGAGCTCGCCCGACGGCCCAGTCGAGTCAAAGGAGAAGACTTCGGCCGAGAACCCGTGGTGCTCGCGGCTGACAATGGTCTCCGAGCCCACGCGGGTGACGTGGTGGTGGCGCGGGTCAGCAGCAATGCGGGCAAAGAGTGCATCGACGGCACTGGCGGGTCCTTCTAGGATTTGCATCAGCACCTCGCCCGATGACGAGCGGAGCAGCTGGCCGGTGATGCCACGCTTGAGGTTCCGCATCCGCCACTTGTCGACGAGGCTCGCCCACTCTGACGACGGCATCGACGATGAAGCAAGCGAGACGTACGTGACACGCAGCATGCCGATTGGCGGCGGCGTCGAGACCGAGGCCTTGCGGGCGCGCGAGCGGGCGCGGGCGGCTGCAGCAACCGAACGTGCCTGAATCGGCATCGAAGCAGAGGTCGGCGCAGACGCGCCAGCGCGGTCGCATCCGGTAGCTAGGAGTGAGGCGACGTCGACATGCCGACGTGAGTCAAACGAGCCGCCCATCCGCCGGTTGGCCAAGTGCTGAAGGCCACGAATCGGCGACGCCGGCAGTTTGGGCTCGGAGAGTGTGACCTGTAGCGCGCGGGCAAGGTCAGTCTTGTCCGGTGAGCGCGGATACGCCGCATCGCCGCGGATGTCCGGGGCAACGAGCGCGACGTATCGCGGGGTGTCGGAGAGGTCAATAGAAGGAAGCCGCGGGAGCGGCGTGTCGCCCGACGGCGAGCTCGACGGCGAGCCCGACGAGAGCATCGAAGTCGAGAGCCGGAACGAGGCGTTGTCGAGTGCGTGGTCGACACGGTCGGCAACCTGAGCGATCGAGTGGTCGATCGAGTACCGACCCGAGGCATCGAGGCGAACTGGTGGCGACTTGGGCGACGAGGTGAGCTCGATGGTGGTGCGGAGGAGGTCAAAGGAGGAAGAGTGGGTGGCAGCAATGTCCAGGAGGCGCGGGCGAGGAGGCAGGAGCTCGCGCGGCGGTAGCGCTGGCCAGCTGTTGGCGCGGGTCGAAGGCGGAACGACGGTAAAGGCAGGCTGCGGGTCGGCGAGTCCTTTGAGGACGTGCTCGCCGAGCGAGACGAGCGTCCACTCTGCTGCTGCGAGCTGGGCCCCAGGCTGGGCCGGCAGCGACGCGCCGCCCGGAGCAATCAGTTCCGCGACGGAGGGCGCCACAACCAAATCGTGGCCGAGCGAGGCAGCAAGCGACTTGAAGCGCGAAGCCGTGTTGACGACGTTGCCGAGGAGGGTGTAGTCGAGCTTCTCAAAGTCGACCGAGCCGATGTTGAGCTCAACGACCGGACCGGCGCAGGCGCCCATGGCAACCGAGGCACCAGGCAGCGACGAGCGGTCGCAGAGGACGGTGAGGAGGACATGCAGGTTGTGAAGGGCGTGGAGGGCGGGGAGAACGTCGGCCTCGGGAAAGCAGACCATGACGTCCTTACCGATAAACTTGACAACCTCGCCACCAGCGCGGACGATGGACGAGGTGACGTGCTCGTAGAGCTCGGAGAGCAAGACGATAAAAGTGGGATAGTGGGCATCGGAGAGCCACTTAGCCGAGGCCGGCTGTGTGTTGGTGAGGCCGACAAAGACAACAAGAGCATCGACGATGCGCGGCTGACAGTCAAACGGGTTGAGACCCTGCTTGAGCTGGTAAAGCACTACAGGCGGGAGGTAGCGCTCCAGGATTTGGTATGATGAAGAGAGCGAGGCGAGGACGTTCTTGAGGATGGTGTAGACCTGCGGCTGCGACGAGGCGCGCTGAAAGATGAACTCGCTGTACAGCCGGTCGCCGAGCGGCGCGGTTTCCAGATTGATGACAAAGCACTCACCGTGGCGCTCGTCCCGGGCAATGCGGAGGTAGAGGGCGTTGACGGCGCGGGCCGGGCCTTCGAGAACGTGGAAGAACAGGCCGGCGACGTAGACGAGGACGCCGGTGATGCCGGCCTCGACGTTGGCCGCAGCCCATCTTCCGGCAGAAGCATCCAGCTCGGAAGCAAGCCACGGCTTGGTCTCAACCGAGCAGTACGTCAGTCGCAGGAGGCTTCCGGGCGCCGCCATGGCAAACGAGGTGACAAGCGAGTCGTCGAGCGCCGTTCTGCGGTCTCCTAGCGGCTCGTCTGGGCCGGGGTACTCCATTCGAAGGCCCTCGAGCACCACAGTCCGACCCGACGGCTGGAGAGCGGCAGAAGATCCGAGTCCGGAGCCGCTCCACGATCCTTCTGCTTCTGGTCTCGCCTCCGAGTCCGATGCGGAAGATGCCCACGAGTCCGAGTCCGAGCCCAGCCTGTCGTCCGGCGCGGCCGACGCCCTGCCCGGCTCGGCCATAGAGAAGGGAGGTTGAAAGGGAGGGCGGGGCGGGAGGAGGGAAAGGAGGGGAGGAGGAGGGAAGGGAGAGGGTGGAGTGGTGTGGGGAGGAAGGAGGTAATAAGTAGGGTGAGGGGAGGGGGGGGGTGAGGGGGTTGGGTGGCCGGGCGGTGGGGGGGGGGGGCGGAATTGGCTTTGGCGCGCTGGCCTCGGCCGTGCATGTACAGGAGGGGAGGAGGGGGGGGGGGAGAAGAAGGGGGAGGGGAAGTGAAAGGGATTGTTTACTGTGGGGTTGGATCGGGAGTATGGTCATGGTTGGGGTCGCGGTCAGACGAGATAGCGGGCTGTGGGGTTGATAACTGGCCGGCGACGAGGGCGTCGAGGAGGGCGCGGAAGTACGGATCCGAAGCCTCGGCACGGCCGGATGCTGGCGGCGGGTAGAGGAGCGAGATGATGCGCGGGGCAGAGGGGTCGTGGTGCGGGGTGTGGCGGAGATGGTGGGCGTGCTTGGCGGCAAAGTGGAGGAACATCTTGACGACGTTGTCCGAGTTGTCATCGACAAAGATGATGGTGTCGACGTGCGGGAGCGCATCAGGCTCGAGCGGAGTTGGCGAGGGATGAGCCGATGTAAGTGGGACTGGGAACCGCCAGGCGTTGACGTAGGCCTCGACAGCCTCGGGCTTGTTGTAGCGGGCACAGAGCAGGCGGCCCGATGAGGCGACTCCGATGTCGTCAACGGTGTTGATGACGGCAGCGTCGGGCCAGAAGAGCGATTTGAGGACTGGCGGAGGGACGACGGCGTCGAGACCAGCAGGGCCGACGAGGTGCTCCTCCAACCAAGACACCATCTCGCCGGCCGAGGTAAACGGGAGTAGCGGCTCGCCCTCCGAGTCATGCCAGCGAACAAAGAGCCTATCGTCGGGCACCGGCGCGGCCGCGGGCATCAGCGGCGGGCCACGAGCATCGAGATGCGCCAGATAGATGGCAACGGCAGTGGCCGGCTGGAGCGCATCCCACACCGGCGCCGAGTCGGGCGAGAGGGTGATCAGCTGGCGAGCCGACCAAGTCGAGCCGTCGGGCGCGGCGAGTGCAAAGGAGATGGTAGTCTCGTCCACAAGGGCAAAGTTTGAGCGGCCAACACGATGCAAGTCACAGCCGCGGCGCGGCGAGCAGAGCATGAACGCGGTCATTGTCCGCAGTAGCGCGCTCTGCGGCGAGTCGAACGTCGGCGCGAGATAGCCAGCGACCGCGGCAGCGACGGCAGCTCCGTGGGCCGCATCACGGGCGGTGCAGGCAAAAAGATCAGCGACACCGATGCGAGCCATGTCAGCACGGACAGCCGCCGCCGAGCCGACCGACGCCGGCGCCGCGGTGACGACAACCGTGTCGACGCCACGATCAGGCAGCGAGTGCAGCCATGCCCTCGAGGCTTCGCCACCGCGCAGCGCGTACTGCCTCACGCCGTCGACCACAGTGTGGGTAGTGAGCGTCTGATCAAAATCAAGCGCCACCAGTACATGCGGACTGCAATGGCGGAAATCCTCGTCCTCGTCGCCATCCGCGTACGGATGTGGGTGCGGATGCGGGTGCGGGTGCGGGTGGGGTGGGGGCCAGCGGTGGCGAGAGCGTCTGCCAGCCAGACGTCGACCTGGTCGAGACCCGCAGCCGGGTCCAGCACCCCGACCCGGCAGCCGGCAGTGGCGTCGGGTGTCCATTGCGCAGCCATGTCGGCCATTGACGACGGACCGTCCATGGCTGTTGGTGGCGGAGTCGAGTGTTGCTGGTGCTGGTGCTGGTGCTGGTGCTGGAGCAACACCTGTCGCTGTAGCTGGAAATCGGGCTCTGCGTGGCGGGTGCGTGGCATGGGCAGACACAGCGGACGCGGCGACCGGTGGCAGGTGGCAGGCACAGGATGGGGTGTGGCGGTGGCGGTGGCGGTGGCTGTAGTGGCTGTGGCGCTGTGGGCGGGACCGAGTGTGCCGATGTTCGAGCCGCTGGCGGCAGAGGTGGCCCTACGGGTGCCGGCGTATGCAGAGTGGCAAAGGGCGAGGCTGTATGCTCGATTAGCGGGACAGCGCATCGTGCGCGAGCTCGTCATTGCCGAGGGTGCACGGATGTGGGACGCCGGCGCAGGCGCTCTGCGCAGCCACCCGCCGCGTGTTGTGAACGCCCATGCCGCGCGATTTGTGGTGGCAGGCATCGGGGCGACGCCCGCCGGCGCTGTACTGGCGGAGCTGGCCGACAATCTCCGCCGGGTCATGGTCGCCGCGCCGTGCTCGGCGCACATCTTTGTCAATCCGCGGGCCGCGCTCCACATCACCCTCGCACTCCTCTCGTCGCCGGACGAGCCGTTCCCGCTGGGCTCGACCGAGGCTGTGGCCGCCGAAGCGGCCGCGCTGGCGGCGGCCGGTGCCAGGTCGGCTCTGGATGGGCTCGTTCTCGAGCTTCACGACGTGGTAATTGACGCCGCTGGTGTTGTGCTCGCCCTGTGGCGGCCTGTCACCGGAAGTCCCGAGGCTCTACGCCGCGCACTGGCGCAAGCAGCAGGACGCCCGCTCCCGCACAAGCAGCCGACATACATCGTCCACTCGAGCCTTGCGCGGATTGTCGGCTGGCCAACAGTAGCCGATGTGGGCGATCTGGATCGCAAGGTGCAGCTGGCCGAGCTGGCGGCGGCCGGGGCGGCAGCACGGGCGTGGCTGGCAGAGATGCGGCCGGCGAGCGTAGTGGTCGCCCCGAGAGAGCTCCTTTACTGCGACGAGATGACTTACAAGTCGGCGATGGTACCCGGCAACGAGTGTGTGGTGCTGTGAGGCTACGGCTCGGAGCCGGTGTTCGCGGAGTCAAGCCGCGCCACGGCGTCGCGGTAGGCGTCGGTCAGGTCGAGGAAGCCGGAGCGGAGGTTGGACTCGGAGCGCTCGAGCTCCCGGACCCGGGCGCGGAGCGCATCGATCTCGGCCGCCTGCACACCGACCGTCGACCGAAGATGCTCGTTCTCATCGCAGAGCTGCGCTACCAGATCCAAGCGGGCAGGGGCCGGATGCGGGTGCGAGTGCGGATGCAAAGCGCGCGCGGCGTCGACTGTGCGCGGCAGCGGCGGCCGGTCGGCCACGTACACCGAGTACAGAGCCGGATCAAGGCGAGCTGGCGGGGCCGGCGGCATGGGGCGGGCGCGGCGCTGCCAGCGGGCTGGATCACTAGCAGCCTCGCGCGCCTGCAGCTCGGCCGTCCGCTCGTCGGCCAGCCGGCGCCACTTGGCCACAAGCGCGTCTTCGGAGGCGGCCTCGTGGGCCGCCGAGAGCCGCTCAAAGGTCTCGGCGGCGACAGCCTCGACCGAAGCGCGGATGTGCGCCAGCATGGCCTCGTCCGGCGCGCCCTGTGTCGGGACCTGGTCTCGGCTGTCGGTGTTGGAATCCATGCGAACGGTTGTTGCTGGCGACGAGTGCTGCTTCTACTGAGAGAACGCAAGGAATACGGAGGGGCGAATGGAAGGCTCTGGTTGGGGCGCGACCCGGCAAGGTTTGTTCAAAATATTTAGAAAATAGTAGCCCTTCCCCCCTGCCCTGCCCCAACTTCCAATCCCACCTCCCTGTGGAATTGACCTTCGGCTGTGGCTGCGATCCGATCGCCACCTCTCGCCGCCTTCCACGCCCTCCTCCACCACTCGGGCGAGCAGTTGACGGCAGACGGGCAGCAGAGTTTGACGACCAGGACTGGAGCTCGAGAGTCAGCGGCAGAGCAGTGTAACGGCTGACGGGCATGCAGGGCGGAGAGTCAAGGCGACAGAGGCTGCGGCGCGGGGCCGGAGTCGGCAAGGGCTCGGGCGCGCAACCGTCGGCGTCGGTGCCACGGAGGCGTAAGGACAAGCGTGGGCGGCGGGCGCGGCGGGCGCGGGCACGGACGGCCACCTTTTCGCTGCAGCAGTCTTTCAAGGCCGCTGGGGACGGCGAGGCGTCTGCGGGGCCTGCGGGTGGTGGTGGCGGCGGCGGCGGTGGCGGCGGCGGCGACGGCCTGCGGTGGTCGTCGCTCCTCGAGTCGTCACACGAGGCTACCAACATGCTGGGGCGAATTCTGGGCAAGGTCAAAGTGGCGATGGCGAAAGGCATTCATCCGACGCGAGTTGCGCAGGGATCCTCGGGAACGTACTTTGTGCGTGGCGCATCGGGCAAGATCCTCGGCGTCTTTAAGCCGTTTGACGAGGGGCCGTACGACAAGAACAACCCCAAGTGGCTCAAGTGGTTCCACCGCAACATCATGTTCTGCTGCTTTGGCCGCGGCTGCCTCCCGCCGAACCAGGGCCACCTTTCCGAGGCTGGCGCCTCCATCGTCGACAAGCACTTTAATCTCTCGATCGTCCCGCACACAAGAGTCGTCTCGCTCGCCTCAGAAGTGTTCAACTACGACTACGACCAGCTGGCGGCCGTGCCGACTGCTGTCAGCCCGTATCTCGACCACGCCAGCGACGCTGAGTCGCCGGCCCACTCACATCTTGCAGTCCCCGGCGGCGTCTTGCCGCGTCCGTCGTCGCACCAGAACCTTTTCGACCTCGACGCCTCGTACTCGGATGGCTCGGACGGGTGTGAGCCCGTCGCCGCCGCGCCCATCCGCGCCTTTGACCGCGACGACTCTCTCAACGGCTACTCGGACTATGGCGCCGAGTCGGACGACGAAGGCTCGTCAATGACGCCCGGCCCGTCACTTGCACGCGGCGTCCGGGCGTCAGCCCCGGTCCCGCACAAGCGCGGCTCGCTGCAAGTCTTCATGGAGGGCTACGAGGAGGCGACCCAACTGCTGCCGCGTATGTCGACGGCGCAGCTCGCCTCCAAAGAGTTCCAGCTCCAGTTTGAGCGCCTCGTCATCATTGACTACATCATCCGCAACACCGACCGTGGCTCCGACAACTGGCTCGTCCGCGCCGACCCGCTCGGCGAGACCGACCTGGCCGGCGGGAGCCTACCAGGTGATCCGGGCGTGTCACAGCCTCTGCTGAGCACTCCGATGAGTGGCCCAGCGCTCGAGCCGTACGCGCCCGACGATGAGCTCGACGGCCGGTCCAGCAGCGCACACACCGCGGCCGCGGCATCTTCGCCGCGAGTTGCCGGCTCGTTCGGCACCCCAATTACCGTCGCCGCCATCGACAACTCGCTCGCCTTCCCATACAAGCATCCGGACGCCGTCCGCTCGTACCCGTACGGCTGGGCCGACATGCCGCAGACCGACGTCCCGTTCTCGGCCGAGATCCGAACCAAACTTACCCCGCTCCTCACCCACGACTCGATCCAGCTCCTTGTCCGCAAGCTCCGCCGTCTCTTCCAGAAGGACCCCTCGTTCGACTCGGACATCTTTGATGCACAGATGGCCGTCATGCGCGGCCAACTGTACAATCTCAAGAAGGCGCTCAAGGGCCGCATGACACCGGCCCAGCTCATCGCCCTCCCCACCGCCCTTGTCATCGAGCGACCCAACGGCCAGTTTGAGGTCCGTATCACCGACGCTCGCGCTTGCTTTTCTAACTGTTAGTGCTCGCCCCACGCTCGCCGTTCCGCATCCATGCATTGGTGGGCAGGGGCAGGCGACCGCTGGCCACCCCGCAATGAATGGCCACGGCTGCAGCCACCACGTACACCCACGGCACGCTACCACAACTAGTGCACCCCTCTCCCTCCCCACCCCTTCTCCATGGATGCACCGCAGCGCATGGTGAGCGACGAGGCGCTCAGGACAATGTTCTCGGGCGTGCGGAGGCGGCGCCGCGGAGCGTCCCATGTGGCAACGGGAGCCGCGGACACAGCAGGCCAGGCACCGGAAGACGGGCGGCTGGTGTCGCGGGTCGGATGCGGGCTGACTCGAGTGCCGCGGCTGCGAACTCGAGTCGCTGCGCATGTCTCACGGCTCAATCTCTACGACAACCGCCTCGGCGAGCGTGCTGACCTCATGGCGGTCCTCGACGCGCTGCCAGCGCTGTGTCACCTCAACCTTGCAGCCAACGGCATTACCCGCCCTGCGCTCAAGGCACTCGCAGCACTTCCGCTCGCAGGCCGCCTCGTCTCGCTCGATCTCTCACACAACGACATCTCCGGTCGCCTTCCACGCACCTTTCTGCCGGCGCTCAAGGCACTTGTCTCGCTCCATCTCAAGGGCAATGCGCTCACCGGCGTGGCAGGCAAGGCGCCAGCGCTGGCAACGCCGTCGCAGCTGCAGACCCTTGATCTCACCGCGGCCTACTCGTCGCACGAGGGCAACGGTATGGCACGGATGCTGCAGCAGGCTTTCACCGTAATGCCACGGTCGCTCCTCGCGTCGGGCACCGCGCTCCGCGAGTTGTATCTCACCAACCAGCAGTTGACCGATCTGGATCCGGTCGGCCTGCGGTGTTGCACAGCGCTCCGCAAGCTCATGCTCGGCAACAACCTATTTACTCAGCTGCCGGCGGCGCTCCCGAACCTGCCTGCGCTTACCTGGCTGGACATGTCCAAGAACTTGCTCACCACCGAGCCGCTCGCCTTGGCGACGGCGCCGCGGCTCAAGCTCCTTCGCCTGCACGGCAACGGCTTTGACGACGATCGCGAGTTCAAGGAGCTGGCCAATAGCCAGCGCGACGGCGAGCTCATCGCTGCACTGCACAACCGCGCGGTGGCTGCCGGTGCCGTTGAGGCCAAATCGGGCTCGTCAACATCGTCGTCTTCGGCCGCCGAGCGCCAAACGCGTCTCCCCCACACCATTCTGCCATACACTGACTGCCTGCCGCGCAGCATGACGACGTCATCGGGTGAAACCACCATTTCGTCGGCGTCGTCATTGTCGTCGTCGTCTTCCGCCTCCTCGTCAACGCCGCCGCCTACGCGCAGGCGGTGCTCGGGAAGGCAGCGCTGACTCACCGCAGCGCAGCAGTGAGGAGGACGACCAGCGCCACGGCGATGCCAGAGGCCCAAAGGCCAGCCAGGGCGTACGCCGGCAGCCACGTCCCCCCATCACCTGAACCAAACTGGCGGATGAGGATGGAAGCGTCGAGGGTCGACTGCGGAAAGTTGCCGGCCTTGGGGTCAAAGTTAAAGGCGATGCCGTTGAGCTCGTTGAACATGAGCGCCTGGAACGCGTATCGGACCGGCGAAACGTCGAGGAGCCAAGCGATAGCGGGTTGGACGTTCTGGACGTTGAGCAGGAAGCCCCCAAAGAGCATAAAGCCGAGGTGGACCAGTGCTCCGGCCATGCCGAGCAGCAGCGGCGTACGGTGGAGTAGTGCGCCGAGCGCGAGAAACATGCCGGACGACGCCCCGGCCACGAGCACCACATACAGCTCAAAGGTGAGAAACTTGGCCGGCTCTTCCTGCAAGCCGGCCATCCAGTACGTGATCGAGCCAAAGAGAAGGGCGGGAATGACCCGAAACGGTACGATGTCAAAGATGGCAAAGGCCACAAAGAATGCCGTCCGCGAGTAGAGCCCGGACCGAACCTCGCGAACGACCACAGGCAGCCAGCCGGAGAGTAGGTGCAAGACGACGGTGGCGAGGCCCGAGAAGAGCGAGGCTGAGAAGAAAAGAAGCCCAATGCGGTTCCACGCCCCGATGAGATTGAGCGGCAAATCCCAGAAGACTCCGCCGAGCAGCAGCGCTGCGCCCAGGGTCAGCACGTACTGGGCGCGGAGAAGGAGCGGGTCGCGCCAGGCCGCAAGCGCAAGCCGCCGGAGCACTCGTATCATGTCTTCGACCCAGCCGATGGCTTGGGCGACAGGGCCGACGCGAACGTGGGCCCGCGACGGGCTCGTCCGCCCAGAGAGCGGGTACGAGACGAGGCGAGAGCCGTGACGGGCACCGAGCCGGTCCGACGCGGTCCGCCGGCGTACCTCGGTGGCGCGGGCTAGGTCCGCGGCAGCGTCGGGCGATGCGCGTGCCAATGCGATGAGCGAGCCCTCGAGATCGACGACAGCCGGTGAGCCCGAGTAGACCACGTAGCCGCGATGAAGGTGAGTGAGCGTGTCTAGCGTGTTGAGGACAGCTCGCGAGGGCGCGTGAAGTGTGACCAGGACACCGATGTTCAGTTCGTCGGCCAAGGTGCGGAGGAGGCTCATGACGCTGGCGGCAGTCAAGGCGTCAAGCCCGGTGGTCGGCTCGTCGGCGAGCAGAAAGTGTGGGGCGCGGATGAGGCCTAGCGCCAGCGAGAGTCGTTTGCGCTCGCCGGATGAGAGACCGCGATGGACGACAGCAGCAGGGTCGCCGATGCGCGCGTCTGCCACCCGGCGCAGAGCCAGAGCGTCGAGAAGGGCGCCAAGGAGCAGGTTACGCTCGGCATAAGCGTACCAGAACGGCGCATGGGCGTCAATGGCAAAGGAAAGCGTCTCTGCGACTGTAAAGTGCGGGAGGAGGGCCGGGAACTGCAGAACAAGCTTGATACGCGCGGCTGTTGGGCCGGAGACCGAGCCGTCAATGAGGCCACGGGAGCCGAGCTTGGAGCGCGTTCCGCCAAGGACGTGCAGGAGCGTAGTCTTTCCAGAGCCGGACTCGCCGACAACGCCGTGGATGGAGCCGCGGGCGACCGATCCCCAGCCGCCAAACAGCAGATAACCAAGAGCACGGTCGTCGTGGAGGCGGACGTTGAGGCCAGACCAGACAAGCGGGCCAGACACTGCATCGCTATTGTCGCTCGCGTAGAACGGGGCGAGGGCGTCGACCAGGGCAATGCTCGTGTGACGGCGAGTGGCAGCACGCGACGCGCGCCGCCGCCACAGCTCGAGGGCGTAGCCCGCGGCGCGGACGGCCGCCACAATGACAAGGAGGGCAGCGGCGACGGATGCGAGCGCGGCAAAGGTGAGCTCGACAATGGCCGACGACGAGAGCGAGGCCGGGATGGGCGGGAGCGGGACTGGGTGGGAGAGGCACTGGCCTGCAGCGCACATGGCAGGGATGACAAACGAGACCTTGGGCTGGAAAAAGGTCAGCTCGGACCCAGCGGATCGCAGACAAACGACGACTTTCCGGAGACGCCCGAGAGGACGAGAGCAAGATATGTGGAGCATGTGTAGTCTGCGGCTTTGTTGGCGCAGCCGGCCTCTGTGTGGAGGCACTCGTAGTGCATCTTGCCGTCGGCCTGAAGGGCAAAGGCGCAGTTTGCGAGCTTGATGACGAGGGTGGCGTATTGGGCGCAGTAGACTTGCGAGCACATGCGGGTGTTGATGGAGATGAAGCACGTGTTGTTGGCCGAGTGCTCCGGCGAGTATCCGCCTTGGCAGCGGATGTAGCCTGTCCCGTGACCACCAAGCTGCTTGTTCCACGAGCCTGTGATGTTGCATGCAAACGAGATGTCGTTCACGATGACGTTCGAGGTGTCGATGAGCGAGCTTTCGGCGCGATGCGGCTCGGGCGAGTGGTCGGCAGCGTAGCGGCACGATGCGTTGGTTGTCGGCGTCATGCATGCCATGCCGATGTAGTCGTTGGCGCACTCGCAGACATGCCATTGCTGCCACGGCGGCATCGGCCCAGGCGGCGCCTGGTTGCCCGGGTGGAGGTGCATGGTGGCGTTGAACGGGCACGAGAGGGCGTCGCAGCCCTGCGTGGTGTTGGTCCATCCGCCTATGCACTCGCACCGCTCGGTCCCGGTCTTGGCATCGCTCACGCAGCTCCCAGCCTGACAGCATTCTCCGCCGCACTGCCAGTGCGGGCAGTAGAGCGAGGGGCCCTGCGCCGAGCATGCGACGCTTGCGACGGCGAGCACCAGTGCCGCAACCCATACCGCCTGTACCGACATCTCAGCCATACCAAACACGACGGATGGCTTGGAGAGTGTAGACACGTTTTGTGGAGCGAGGTGGGATGGGGCTGGTCGTGTGTCACGCACCTGTGTGGGGAGGACGGTGAGGGGTGGGTGGAAGAGTGCCCGCAGGAAAAGGTCGTACGCCGGGTGCCAGCCGAGTGGGGTGCGGTGGCGATCGCGATCGCGATCGCGATCACTATCTAGGCCGACCACACGTCTACTGTTGCAGGCAGAGCACGAGAGAGGCAGGAAGCGGGAGGCGGATGCCGACGGTGCGGTTCTCGCCGCTGCCGGGGCGCCCTCATGATGGCGGCCAGCAGCGTCCGGCATCTGCGCCGGCGGGTAGTGGTGCCACGGGCGACGAGGCTACCAGCGAGTGGGGCGTGCCGGGTTCGGGGACCGGGAGCCTCGGCTACACAAGCTACACATACTCGAGCGAGAGCAGCTCCGATGAAACCAGGGCTGGACGTGGTGCTGTGGCATTGTCGCCGCTCCGGGCTGCTGTGGGGATGAGGAGTAGCGGCGGACGCGAGGCGCGGGCGTCGGCGGGGTGGAATGCGCTGATGGCATCGGCGCGGCTGCCGCCGCTGGCGACCAAGGTGGCACGGGACGATGCGATGGTGCGGGCTCCGCTGGCGCGGTCGCCGGTGGTGCGGCAGACAGCGGCAGCGGCGGCGGCGGCGGGACGGCGGCGGCAGTGGCGGCGGCGGCGGCGGCGAGCGGGCGAGAGCATGGGCAGCGCTGATGAGAGGGAGCAAGTGGAGACGGTGGACGCGGCGAGCAACGAGAGTGGGACGATGTTGGTCATGGCGTACGTTGTCCTGCTTGTTGCCCTAGTCTCTGTCTCGTCTGCGGGCGCGGTGCTGCGCAAGATCAATATTTCACCGCTGGCCAAGGCGTCGTCCCGGATGCAGATGACGGCAGCACTGCAGTTGCCGGGCTTTGCTTGGCAGCTGTGGGCCGGACGCCGTGCGGGGTGGATGAGCAAGCTCGGATCGCGGTGGCTGGCGTGGCGGATTGGGGCATCGGGCGTTGCGCTAGCTGCGCACTTTGGGCTCTGGATTATGTCGTTGGACAAGACGTCGCTGACCCACTCGCTGCTGCTTGTGACGACGCATTCTATTGTGATGGTGAGCGGGATGTGGGCGCTCAAGCTGGCGCGGATCCGACCGGACCTTGCAATCTCATGGGGCGAGTCGCTGGGGACGGTAGTCGGCTTTGCCGGCCTTGCGATTGTCTCGCTGGACATTTCTGCGGATGCCGAGGTGACGCTGCTCGGCGATGTGTACGCATTTCTGGGAGGGGTGGCCATGATTGTGTACCTTGTAGTCGGCTTTGCGGTGAGGCAGCAGCTGCCGCTGTTTGTGTATGTGTTTCCGGTGACGGCGCTGGCGGCGGTGGTGCTGAGTCTTGCGGCGGCGGTGGCCGAGTACGATACCGTGAGCTCTGCGGGCGGCTGGGGGCTGTTTGCGTGGACGTGGACATCACCGGACGTGTGGTATGTCATCTACGTGGGCGTCGTCCCGGGCATCATGGGTCACACATTCATCAACTGGGTTCTGCGCCACCTGCCGTCGCTGGTGGTCTCGGTCACGCTCATGACCGAGCCGCTGGTTGGCACGCTCATCGGGCTGGTGGTGGGCGAGTCGTCGGTTCCGGGCTTGTGGACCTTTGTCGGTGGGCCGATCCTTCTCGCAGGCTCGGTGTGGACGACAATGAGCTCGCATCGACGGCAGCGCAAGGTCAAGGGCAAGATTGTCGACGCGCCACTGGAGGCTGGGTCGGCGAGCGAGCCGTAGCCGCCGGAATCTTGAAGAGCATTGTTCACTGATGTGGGTAGAAGAGAGAGCGCAAGCTGCTGTGCTTGACAGTTGAGCAGCATGAGCGTGCGCGCACGAGGGAGCGAGGGGTGGGGGGGGGGGTGACGCGGCAGGCAAGGTAGCGGCGATGTGGGTGCGCGAGCGATGAGAGAGCGGCAGCGCAGCAGCAGCCGCACGCCTGCTGAAAGAGGAAGCAGCAGTACGAGAGACAGCGATTACTCGGAGTCATCGCCGGACCTTGCAGCCTTGAGGGCCTCGGCCTTCTTCTCCTGCATGAGGATGTTCTGCTCGACAAAGCGCTGGTTCATGCGGGAGACGCCCATGAGGAACTTGTCGCAGCATGTGTTGACGCACGAGGTCTCCTTGCCGGTAAGCTTGCGGGAGCTGTGCGGGAGGGAGGAAGGGAGGAAGGGAGGGAGGAACGGTTGTGGGTGTGGGTGTGGGTGTGGGTAGGGATGGCGGGAGGGGGGGGGGACGGTGGTGAGTTGGTGGGATGGGAGGTGAGCGGGGAGGGGTTGGTGGTGGGGGTGGCGATGGAGGGTGGGGAAGGGGGAAGAGGGGAGGGGGGGAAGGGCAAGGCGTACGAGAAAGAGTTGACGCAGTCTGAGAAGCACTTCTCCACCAGCTTGTTGTAGACGGTCATGTAGTCGCGGACGGTCTTCTGCTGCATGATGGCCTCCACCTGCTGGCGCTCGTACTCGTTGGCCACATTGAGGGTCGCCGGGAAGGACATGGTGGACGAGGTGGGGAGAGAGGGGTGTGTGGGAAAGGGAGGGTGATCGGGGAGGGGAAAGGGGGGGGGAGGAAGGGGGAGGGAAGGGGGATGATGATGGTGGCGGATGATGATGATGATGGATGATGGCGGCGGATGAGGTTGGTGGGTGGGTGTGGGAGGGGAGGGGGGGCGAATGGGGCGTGCTGCGTTGCCTCTGTTGGCCACTGGGCAGCGCGATTGGTGGAGTGGCAACACTCAACTCGTGAGACCGGAAGGATGCTGCGGGCTGCGATGCGCTTGGTGCAACGTGGGGGCGTGGTGGGTGTGGGCGCTGCGGGCGCGAGTGGCAGCAGCTGCATTGGCGTGGCCAGTAGCGCGGGGCGGCGGTGGGTGGCGACGACGGGAGGAGCGGAGCAGGAAGAGGGCGAGGGCGAGGGCGAGGGCGGGAGCGGCCGGCCGCGGATCAAGGTCTACACCAAGACGGGGGACAAGGGCAAATCGTCGCTGTTTACCGGCGAGCGGCGGGCCAAGGATGATCCGGTGTTCAAGGCGCTTGGTGCGGTGGACGAGCTGTCTGCTGTTCTGTCGTGTGCACGCGAGGCCGAGTACGGTATGGCCATCGAGCTCTCGCAGCAGATCATTGAGATCCAGTCGCGGCTCATCGACATCGGGTCGAACATTGCCACTCCGGCGCGGTCGGCCAACGAGGCGCGGCTGCGGCGGACGTCGTTTGGCGAGACGCACGCTGAGCAGCTCGAGGCCTGGATCGATGCCATGGACGACCAGCTCCCGCAGCTACGCAACTTTATCCTCCCGTCGGGTGGCATGTCAGCTTCGTTTCTGCATCTCGCCCGCGCCGTCGCCCGCCGGGCCGAGCGGCACGTCGTCCCGCTCATCCGCGCCGGCGAGTGCGAGCCCAACGTCGGTGTCTACATCAACCGCCTCTCCGACTACCTGTTTCAGGCCGCTCGCGTCGTCGCCATGCGCGAGGGCAAGTCCGAGATGGTGTACAAGAAGCCCAAGTCCGACGATTGATGGGAGGCACAGGGTAAAGGCCGGCCAAGTCGTGTGAGGCAGCAGCCAGTCGGTGGGCAGAGTGACACTTGACGCTGATCGGGCGGAGTGAGATGTTGTTCTGCCCGACATGCGCCAACATGCTTGTAGCCGAGGACGGTGTGCATGACGGCGGGATGGCACACGCAACCAACACGGTGTTTGTGTGCAGGACGTGCACGTATGTGTACCATTGCGTCCGTCGCTACACCGAAGCCATCGAGCTGACTCACAAGGAAGTCGACGACGTCCTGGGCGACTCGGCCTGGGAGAACGTTGGCACCACCCAGGGTACGTGCTACCTGTTAGACAGAAGGAGGAGGGGGCGGAAAAGGGGTGGGGGGTGGGGGGGAGGGGGTGTGTGTGGTGGGGTGGGGGGGGGTGGGACCGACGGGAGTCAGTGGGACGGAGGGGGAGGGGGGG